GAACTCGTCCAACAGTCTGAGTGCTTAAAGATCTTATAAAACAACAAGATCCCAAAAGAGAGTAGCTCGAGAATTCCCCATAGGGGAACACCAAGGCATCATACCTACAGAAGTAATAAGAGCCACATATTCTAAATCTCAAATTAATACCAGGTCACTCTTCCTAAGGTTAATGCAGAAACCCAAGATAATCTCAAAAATATGCAGCCAGTGGTCACATTATAATTCAACTAAGAGTCCTTAATGCTGAGAAGTTTTTAAGAAAATCTGTTATTCCCATCAGCCAGGGTAGAATATAGGTTCCAACTGTTGGTAAAGGTGATCATAAATTAACAAATTAAGAGCAAAGTCATTAGAGAAAACGAACTTCACGAAACTAGTAATGCCATCAAACTTCTACTATCCACCATCAATATGGTCGGAAAGAAGAATGGCCAAAGATATGCAGCAAATTATGACTCTCCTACATGCTGTAGTGTGCTTATGGATACATATTTAAAAGTTCAAGGTGAATCTATATTTCCAGTTACACAGCAAAGCAGAGGAAACTTAATAAATGACCGACAAACTCCACTAAATGAACCAGATTTTAACAGAAAGAGATAAAGTTAGCAGAACTTACACAGATGAGCAACTTTTGGGCTGCTCTTCTCAACTTCATTTACAACACGAAGAATAGGGGCAAGCTCAACCAATGAAGGAGGTACTATCTCACAGTCAAAATACTGTTCAAGAAGGTCTACCTTATCCATCTCTGACTTTAGTTGATTGGAGGCCCTTTTTATTAAGTGAAAAATATGAGTAGCATCAATAAAACACCAAAGAGTTGCAACCAGTATGCAAAAACTTTACAAGTCTTTCAAAATATCAATAAAGCACTCAGTTGATTGAAGCCCCTTATTGATGATAACATCTGCTCTTGTGACTTGATGAAACTCTCAAAAATACTAGCACCTTGTTTCCCTGTAACACGCAAGAAAGAAAAAGGCTGTACAATAAATCAAGGTTCACATTATTTATTTGAACAAAGTACAGAACCAATAGTATGTCAAAGGGAAAGAGGAGGGCAATACCAAGCTGGTGAATGACGGGAAAAAAAAGACCGACGTGCAATAGAAGACTAGCAAAAAAATGCAGAAAAAAAAAAGTAGGGAAGAATGCTGACACCCAAGAGTAAAAAGAAAATTACAGGATAAACAAAAATGCCTAATTTCAGAAAGAATCAAGACTCAGACCTGGCCACAAACAAGCAAAGAACTAGAAGAATAGAATTAATAGAAAGAGAAATGAGAAAGAAACAACAAAGACACCAAAAAAGCCAGATAATAGATGTCCGGATGTATCAAGTAGGACGATTTCAAAATACAAAATAAAAATGAAAACATGTAAGTAGGAAACTCATGCAACTATGTGTTTTGTGCTTACCAACTAATTAAGGCACTGGTGCTAAATCAGATATCTGCAGCAAGCAACAAAAGAGAAACAGAGATATTATAATGGATAATCAAAACAGATTGAGTTAGAAGAAAAATAATGTGAATGTTGAACTAAGTGAAAGAGATCTAGAGTCGTGTTTCAAATGTTGAACATTGACTTCAGACAAGAAGTCAAAAGAGTTTCATGAAACTCCAAATGCAGGTCATTCAATTGGATTATCGACTTCTAAATGTTTGGCAATGGTATTTTATTGGAAGAGTATAAAAAGAGATGTCTGAAACTTCATCCGTACTTATGACGTTTGCCAAAGGTGGAAGGCAGACCTTTCTCCATAGCTAGGGTTATTACAACCCTCACCTATCCCTAGGTCAAGTATTTCAAAGGATTTCATCGAAAGTCTGACTAAGTCTTAAGGAAATGAAGTTATTTGGGTTACAAATATGCTCATTTCAATTTTTTAGCACATCCCTATTTGTGAAAACCATCTTCAAATTACATGGTTTTCCAGAGGAGATTACAAGTGACAGTACACCATCTTACTTAGCATGTTTTGATAGGATATGTTTCATCAACAGAGAGTTTGCTTAGCCACTTATACGGCTTACTCTTACCTATTCCTAATGCACCTTGGTCAAGTATTTCAATGGATTTTATTGAAAGGATGCCTAAGTCTCAAGGAAATGAAGTTCTTTGGGTTGTCGTGGATCGACTAAAAAATATGCTCATTTCAATTTGTTACCACATCCCAATTTGGTCTCAACAGTAGCTCAACTCTGCATGAAACCATCTTCAAATTACACGGTTCCCTATAGGAGATTATAAGTGACAGACACACCATCTTCCTTACAGCTTTTGCCAGGATATACTTCATCTACAGGAAGCTTGTTAGCCACTTCTACAGCTTACCATCCACAAACAAATAGATAAACCAAAATAGTCAATTGGTACTTGGAAATAGGGATGGCCACTAGGGCGGGTTATCCACTAATTTGCCCCAACCCCTCCTGAAATGGGGCGGATGAAAATCCACAATTGACGGCTAACGGGGGTGGGTACAGATAAAAAGCTAAAAACCCAAAACATGTGTAAGTTGATATCGATGCGATGGTGTACCCGCCCCATCCTCCCTGTCTCACCTGCTATTGTTATGTATAAAATTACATTTTTTCAAATAAAAAGTATAAAATCATTGACATATGCACCATAGGGGTGCAAACCCATTTAGAAAAGCATTTGCAAATCAATTAGTGTATCTATTAAATCACCAACATCCTCCATAATAAGCAAAGAATGACCCATTACAAAAAACCTAGATCTGAAACCATCTCGCTCTAATCTAACCATATCCTCTTCTACCCCATCGAATGTTCTCCAATTCCTTTCTTTCCAAAGGAATATGATGTGTATGTGAATAATTAATATACATTTTAATGATGTATGGATATATAATTATTAATTCTCATTTTTTATAAAATTTTTTTAATATTAAATAAATTAATATAATAGAATATATAATAGATAATTTAATTTTGATTATTTAAATTTATTATTGTTGAATATGATATTTTATTATTTAATTAGTTAATATTATATAACTAAAATTTTACTAAAATAAGAATCTCATATAATTAGAAATTTAGTAGAATAGTTATTTTCTAACTAATAGGTTAAAAATTTTATAAATATTTCAGATGTAACAACCTAAAAAGTGAGAAATAAAATTATTTTTCTTCAAAAATCTACATGGTATCAGAGCCAAATAAACCTATTTTAGGGTTTTTATTTCAGAGTTTTTTCAAACCCTAAAACAATTAAAAAAGTAGGCTGAATAAAAAGAGAACCATATTAGAGGCATAAAGAAAAAAAAAATTGGGAAGAAAAGTCAAATAAGAGGAACAGAGAAGTCGACCACCAGGGATCCCTTCTTCTTCGGCCGAGTTCAGAGACGTGCGACCACCTCGGACTTCTTCTTCAGCCCCATGCTTTTTCTTCAGCCACACGCGGAGCCGCGCAAAGAGCTGCGCAATCCACCTCAATCTTCTCACTCTGATCACACAGAGCCACTGTCCACGTGATCCCGTTCCTTCTTTAGCCTCGCACAGAGCCGCCGTGAGCTGCTAGGTCGAACTACTTCCAAGCCGATCTGAGCTGTTGAGCCGAGTCGTTTTTCAGCTCGAGCCTAACCGTTTTTCTTAGTCGAACCTTTTTTTTAGCTAAATTCAAGTCTTTTTTTAGTCGACTTCCAGTCGTTTTGAGCCGAGTCAAGTTGTTATCTTGCCAAATAGATCCACTTCCTCCGCGTGAGCCACTTTGATCAGCCTTTTCTAGTACTTTTTCTAGCTATTCTGCACGCGCCTGCCTCTAGTTTCGCAATCTGGCACAGATCCACTTCTTTTGCATGCGAGCCGCTTTCACCAGCCAACTTGAGAAGGTGTTCATATGATATTTTATTATTTAATTAATTGATATTATGTAATTAAAATTCTACTAAAATAAGAATCTTATATAATTAGGATTCTAGTAAAATAGTTATTTTCTAATTAATAAGTTAAGAATTCTATAAATATAATAATATAAAGGGTGAAAAATAAATTTTTTTTCTAAAAATTTATAATTATTTATTAATTTTTTAAATATAAAAATAAACTTTAAAGAACACTTTAATTTGATAAGTAATAAATACTTTTGTTCGTTTAAATATATAAATGTTGTATTTTTATAATGTTACTTTATATTTGCTATTGAGTTTTAACTATGTTAATATTTAATATTTTTAATTAAGTTTTAACTATTTACTTAATAATTTACAAAATTATTTATAATAAAACAAGTAAATAGAGTGTGTTTTAGGTGGAGGCCGATGAATGACAAAATGGATAAATGTAGGTAATTGGGGCAGGTGGAAGGTAAAAGTATTTACCCGTGGGGTAGGTGGCGGGTAAAGAGTTTGTTACCTACCTCGGTTATAGGACAGAGTATGGATATATACTTTTTTTAAACGGAGCAGATATGAAGAAAAGCACGCCCACCTCATACCTATCCTGTGCTCATCGTTACTTTGAAGCATACCTACTATGTACATGTCATGCACATCTTCCTACTTGGACAAACCAGTTGTATTTGGCTTATTTTTTATATGATACCAATTTTCACACAGTCATTTAAGCCATTCCCTTTGAGGCTCTCTATGGATACCCTCCTTCCAATCATATCCACTATGTCCCAAGAGATTCAATTTCATAGTCTTGACATTTTTCCACATGACCTAGAGGCTGCCTTACAATGCTTAAGTTTCACCTTTCAAGGGTTCAACATTGCACGATGCAGCTTGTAGAGCAACATCAGCCAAAGAGGGAATTCCAAATTGGGGACCAAACTTCCAACCTTCCATTTCCAAAGAACTAATCAAAAGCTGGATACTCTGTAAATGGGTCCTTTCCTTGTCTTGCATAAAGTTGGAAAAGTGGGTTACAAGTTACAACTTCCTTGAGGATGTTGAATTCATCCCAGATTTAATGTATCTCAACTTAAAAAAAAGCATCAGTAGACGTCCAACTCCAAGAAACTCCAATTGTACCCGACAATGAAGGTAGACAACCTTTAGATACTTTGGACAGAGTACTTATCAAAAGATACAACAAACCACTTCTTCAGGTCCTCAATAAGTGGTCGGATGGAACTCAGGCAACATCAGTAAATGCTTTCTGAATGCACCAGAAAAATTTACTCAATTTTACCTTGAGGACAAGAGAACCCGGGTGAAGGGGGTTTGATATGTGTAGAACGGAAATATTACCATTAAAAAGCTGTAATCCAAAGACATAAGCCCAAGGTTGTTGATTTAGAACCAATTCAGTTAGAATAACAAGTATAAATACCTAGAATGTATCGAAGAGAAACCAAGCATGAACAAAACCCTGTTTTTGGCTGTCCCTATCTGTGTGTTTCTTTCCCGGTATTCTGTATCTCTCTCTCTCTCTCTCTCTGTTAAACCTTCTAGCGTAACACAGACATCAACTTTCCAACAAAGAAGAGAACAATCCCATCAATAGCTATATAGCTTTATAAAACCCTGTTTTTGGCTGTCCCTATCTGTGTGTTTCTTTCCCGGTATTCTGTATCTCTCTCTCTCTCTCTCTGTTAAACCTTCTAGCGTAACACAGACATCAACTTTCCAACAAAGAAGAGAGTAATCCCATCAATAGCTATATAGTTATAACGCTCGAGTGCTTAAAATTAACCGCTAACTGAAACCTGATTAATTTTGTCGAAAGCAGATCTTATTTCACTAATTTCATAGTTGAAAGAGAGACATTTACTAGAGAAAAATTTTGGTTCCCTCTGGTCACTATTCTTAGTTTCACTTGCTCAAACCCAATTATGCAGGAGGATACTGAGTATACTCGAAAACATAAGCCCAAGAGACACAAACCTCAAAACCAAAAGGAATCAAGCAATACTCTGCTCCTGCAACATGCCTTGCTCCATCGTCGGCACCGTGCTCCTATGACCATGGCAGATCTAAAAGTTGCCAACATATCCCTCATACGTTGACCGAGAAGAGACAATCAAGTCTTGCAGATTAACAAAACCTGCTCCACCGACCGACAAAGGGAAAAAGGAACAGAAATTTACGAACAAGATGGAAAAGAATAAAAAAAGACCGACCCAGAGCTAAAACTTCAACAAACACATTTTTGTCCAGCAACTGTCTGAATTCTCGATTAAATTAAAGATTTTTCAACATTAAACTGAAACTTATTAGCTCACTGTTCAACATTATGATTATTATTAAAACGATAAATTAAAAAATTAAGAAAAAATTAAAAATATTCCTTAAAAGCTTGAACTTTTTATATTTTTTAATTTTAATGAATAAAAAGAAATGAAATTTCAACCAAAAATTACTTAATTTTTTTGAACTTTTTCAAAACGTGATTGATTGATAATTATCAATTTTTTTAATATTATTAAATCTAAAAAATTATTTAAGTACATAATTTTTTTTAATATTTTTATCAAAAAATTTTCAACGAAGAAAAAATTTTAGAATATCTATCTGTACCAGTTACAAACTTCGTTTTGAAGAATTTTTTAATTACATTACTTATAACTTAATTGTTCGTAAATAAAACTAATTTAGAATTGTTCCATATTTTAAAATATAAATTGTATTTATGCACTTCGTATTTGTTTTGAATTCGCTCTCGAAAATATAATCATTCTTACCCCCTTCACCTTAATCTCACCTTAATCCCACAAGCCTCTGATTCATTCTTATTCGACTCAATTCTTTTGTTTATATATCTTTTATCAAAAGGTACTATTCGATAATGTCTATCTAACATACTTCCAGTTTATTCGAATAATATTCATTATTTGACGTGGTTCTTTTCCATGACCTCTAGTCGCTTTATCATCTCTCTCTCTCTCTCTCTCTTCGTTCTCATACTGTTAAATTGTTGTAGTGTATGTATTATATATATTTTATATGCTAAATGTATATAAAAGTTATATGATACATATATGAAAGATATATAATATATTCTATATTCTATAATATAATACTTTTACATACATACATGATATATCTCAGATTCTGTAAACCACTCCAATTATATATCTTTTATATATGTATATAATGTATATGTTTTATATATAAGATAATATAGTATACTGTTTACATATATAATATGTATGTACTAATAGTATTTTTTAATTAAAAGATTAAAATAATTATTTCGGTATTCCTCCTCAACCTTCTTCATGTAGATGCACAATTACACACACAGCA